TTGAGTCGGTAAGTTTTTCAAAAATATTTCCAAAACTAAGGGAAATAGACAATTTTTACTGAAAATTTGGGGCGGGAGGGGGGTAGGAAGTTTTATCGAATTCTCCACGTACAACCCTCCCCCCTCAAACTTTCAGTAAAAATTCACTATCGCCCTTAGTTTCGCAGATATTTTTGAAAAACTTACCGACTCAATTGTGTTTGGTTGTGAATTCTCAATTTAGTGCAATTCGGCACTGCACATTCATATTTGATTGGAAAATTGAATAAACTCTGGAATTTTCGTCTTTACGATGCTTAAAATTCCGGAATTTCACTGAATTTTCAGTGAAATGTGAAATTTCCCGATTTTTTTATATCCTAAATCACATTCAACGTCATTGTCCTGTAAATTAATTGTCAACTAAAGTCAACATTTTGTTCATGAAGTATCATTTTTTTTCCTATAGTGTAGATAAAGATGACAATCAAGAAAAATTGCACGCAATTTCCTTAGGTGAAGACGGGCAATAGTGTAAGGGTGGAGCAAACCAGGACCCCGGTTTGGTCAGGGGCATAATTATTATTTACTGGGGGTTTTCGCCTGTATCGCCAACAAGGAACACTAGCCACAATCACCTGCAGCGTGATGGAAAAACTTTAAAAACAATGTAAACAACACTGTTACGCCCCTTTGTCCTATCCTTTCCAATGTTTTTAAAAAATGGAATTACCTGGAAGCAACATTGATTTTTTCGATCCCTTGCTGGCATTGATTCTCATGTGCTAGCTGTTTCAATGGAATTGTCAACGTTTTGGCTCAGCACGATAATTTAAATATTGCTTGTCAAAAGTTTGACCAAGTTGTTGAAAGTTTTCGACAAATTAATTAACATGTTATTTATTGTTATGTAAACTAGAGCAAGATATTCCCTTAGATTTATAAGTTGAGTGCTATGATAATAATTACCGTTCCTCACGTTGAAAATGACATTTCCATGTGAATGAGTTGATGAAGTCGTATAAATTGTAGCACTCAACACATAAATGAACAAGAATGACAAGTAATTCTTTGCTGGACGCATGAAAAAATATAATAGAAAAACCTAGCGAAATCGCTAGATAATTTTATTAGATTTCTATTGAACGTTCTATTAGTTTTCGGCTGATTCTATTGAAATGTTCAATAGAAAATAGTCTATCAAAAGATTCACCGATATTAAATTTTTCTATACAAATTATTCTATTGAAAAATTTTCTATAAAATTTCCTCGGCTCGAATTTCCTATTTTTTTCTAATTTTATTTTTCTATCCTTTTTATTAAGAAAATCAAAACAAAAAACTTTGAATGTTTGAGCCGAGGAAACTTTATAGAGAATATCTCAATATAATAAGTTATATAGAAAAATTTAATTCTATTGACTGTTTCTAGAGAATATTTTCTAAGCAATATTTTAATTCAGTTGGACAAAAACTAATATAAAGTGTAATATAAATTCGATGAAATTATTCATGCCAGCCCTCGAGTC